CTCTTTAGTATCTTGAATTTTCCCTTGTGTTTTGGCTTCTCTGTGCTCCAGTGCAATTTTCAGAGTCTCTTCTGACATCCATTTTGGTCTTTTCTTCCTCTTCTGTCTTTGCAATGACCGTTTGCCCTCTTCCTGCAGGGTTTAGCAAATGAAATTACAAGATAGCAAGTTATTTTTTAACTTTACATGACAAGGAATATCTATTTTAGCATAGGAGTATCAGAGGCAATATTGTGGCCATGTATGTACTTTTTAAAAGGAGCTTTGGTGGCATCCTAAGTAAAAATATCCCTCTGCTAAGCAAAAGGTCCAGAGCCTGGGTCACAATCCGCCAGCTGCTGTTCTGGGGAGTAAGATAGGCAGTCTTCTCCTCCAAAGATTTACAGACTCTGAAGAGGACAGTCAGCTGTAAGTCATAATTGACTTGTTGACGGTGGGGTTGAATTTACATAAAGAAAATGTATCCTTTACTTGAAATTTATTTTAGTGGATCATCTATATTTCATCTTACAACCCTAAATTTTAGAAGGAAAGTAAAGAAATAAGATTTTTTAATTATAATAATACTTTTAATTTAAAATGCAAAATAATACCTTTTAATTTGAAATGTTAAAAAAAGGATAGGCAAACTTCACTTACTTGTATCCAGTGTCACTAATATAAACCTAATTCTAGGCCCCATAACTGTTAGCATTCAATCCAAAGAAAGCGAAGAAAGCGAAGGAAGTGGTCCAGACACATAACTGTGTTCATGCAATACCTAGATAAACAGGCAGTCAGTTTTGAAGAGAACTGTAAAGATGCTGTTGTGCAGATACTGCATGATTTAAAATCAGGAAAAGTGTTCATTAGGATTGTAGCCTTTATCCATTATCTACTTAATCTGTATGCTGAGAAAATAATTCAAGAAGCTGCAATATGTGAAAAAGAATAATGTAGCTTCAGAATTGGAGGAAGACTCATCAACATCCTATGTAACACATCCTGTTTGCAGAAAGTGAAGATTTGAAGCAGGTACTACACAGTTTCCTTCCATTATCCATAGAGTTTTTAAAGGTCTCCATTTACTGCAGAAGTTTAAAGACTATAGTCTTCAATGTAGATTATGAGTCAACATCAAAAAAACAAAATTCTTTACCTCTGAACCAAATGATAGCATCAGAGTAGATAGAGAAAAGATTAGACTTGTCAAAGACTTTTTTATTTGAATACACAATCAACACTGAAGCAAGAAGCAATCAAGAAATCAAAAGATGTGTTCTTGTTCTTGTTCTTGTTCTTGTTCTTGTTCTTGTTATGTGCCCTCGAGTTGGAGTTGCCTGCAACTCATAGGAACCATATTTACAACAACCCTAAACCCTGCTTTATTCTGTGCCAGTCTCACTATCTCCAGCACACCTACTGCCAATACCACAGTCACTGGATCAATCCACCTCATAGAGGTTCTTCCTCTCCTGCACCGTCCCTCCCCTCTCCAAGTGTGATATCTTTCTCCAAGGACTGGTCCCTCCTTACAACATGTCCAAAGTATGTCAGATGAAGCTTCAAAATCCTTGCCTCCAAGGAGCAGCTTGATTTGACCCTCTCGAGGACAAACGTGTTCATTTTCTTAGCAGTCCATGGTATATTCAGCACTTTTCTCCAACAACACAGCTCAAAGGCATCAAT